ATCTCCAAGTGATGCTGTAAGATCCTCAAGTCATTCAAACAAATGGCAGGTGGTAATTTTAAAGACAAATTACCCAGAAAAGCTTTTATTGTTGATCGCTTGTTATAAGATCTGCCATTTGCTAGTAATTGTACATTCAGATGAAACTGACCTTTTATGAGAGCAAAGTGGTAATATAAATGAAATGAATATATTCTTTATTGCAGTAATATAAAAAGAATGGCCTGAGCTTTTAACATAGTGCTTGACCTCTCTGGTGTCTGAACACCACCTAATCTCAGGAGTATTTCACAATAGCATATGATAAAATCAGTACTAATAGAACATTAGAACGGTTTAACATATTAACACTTAGAAGCATATAAAATATTAGAGCTTTAGGTATGCTTTTTGATTATAAATCAGATTGTTGACAGAAAGAAAAAAAAAGATTAGAGTACAACACACTGAAATTCATAGTCACACTAATTATTGAAGCACTGCTGTTTCTGTTTTAAACTCCTTTTTCCAAAATACTCTACAATAAAATCAGATCAGGAGACTCCAGATGCTGAGATTTAAAATTCTCAGTCAGAATCAATTATTTATAAGCACTAAAAACATGCTATTTCTCCTTGAAGGCCCTGAGCATACAAGGAGTACTTCTAGGTTTAGATGCATGTATATAGGTTGCATTCTCTTTAATGAAACCAGTCACATACATACCAATAAATATGTGCAAAAGTGACAGTACAGCCAGGTCTTAGAAAAGCTATACTTCCTCCTATGTAAAAGCACTCATTCATGTGCACCAGTGCACTTAAAACCAGAGAATGAGGGAGGCTATGAGGGAGAGTGAAGAGTCTCTCGCTGCAGGAATCACAGAAGCAGATGATACTTCTGAAACAGGGCTAAAACAAGGAAAGCACACAGATTGCACCAAGCTCCACGTTCATCTTCATTTCACCATTGAATTTGGGAATGGACTGATCTCTTATGGCCCAATTCAGATGTCACAAGTTGGCATCAATTATGTTATTGATTTCAGTAATGGTATTCCTATTCTATACTGGTGAGACGCTACACAAGGTGTCTGCAAATTCCCATTTGTCTTCTGCTCTACAGGTACTTTGCAGAATACTCAGCAACATCAGCAGAGAAACAGTAAAAGAGAACATTAACTAAGAAATGCTGTGATAGAGACATGGTTGGGAGAATTTCACACTGTTGTTCTTTTAATGTATCATTACATGTTAGAGCTTTCGAAAGCAAAGCAAAACATTCATTACTTGGGACATCTGACATGGAATAATAGCCCAATTGTATAAATGATTACTGAGTTTATTTTCATTACTTGTATTATCACTTTAGAGCTACAAGCAACTGCATTATGTTTGCTAGTTTTCTTCAGTCAACACCTCTGTATTATGCCAGTATGAAACCCATTCATCAAAGCACAATTTCAAGTGACTCCTGACCTTCAAACCTCTGAAATGAAGGGTTTGCTTCTGCTTTCACTTCAGTTGCTTTTCTGACAGTGTCTCTGCATTGCCAGAATCTCACTTTGTTCATCATCTGCACAGGAGAACAAAGCTCTCTAATTTCTTAAGGAATATTTAGTATTCAGCATCTTACAGTTCAACATTTTACCAGTGTTTCTTTAAATACAGTATTATTTGACATCTATTCCTAAAACAGAAACAAACCTTTGTAACATGCTCTTCACCTTTCTAGCATGTGCTTTACATGTTTTAATGCATTGCCTAAACACTAATTTTAGGCAAGCATAGGCATAAAAATAAAAACCTTTGCTAAAAACAATGTTCTGCTGAACATGAAAGGCCACAGTTTGGACACATCCATTACTCTGAAATAGCCAGACATTCTCTCAGAACAGTTTGAGCCAAGGACACTCTCCACCTCTATCTACCTTTGTTGGTGTAGATTCCTGGCTTCCTATAAGATACTTGGAGTCATTGAAATCATGCCTAAATTTCAAGTATTACTAACAAATACATGAAGTGGCTTTTCACTTCTGTATCAACTTTTTAAGTGACAGCTTTTCCTACAGCAAAACACTTTAGTAAAGCCATCAGGAACTCCACTCAGAGCCCCTAAATGTCAGATCACAGTAGCGTAAGCATGACAGTTCAGCTCTTCTCTAAGTGCAGGACACTCCACAGCAGCACGGATTACACAAGGACAGCCACTGCCTCCCACCCTCTAACCAGTGCTGGTTTTGCACAGGACCAAGTCCTTCCTCCCTCTCCCCCAGCATTCCCAGGCAAAGTGCTTTTATGGAGGACTCACTTTGATGACTTAAGCTGTAAGCCAGCTTCTCCGAAAACAAATTGTACTCAGGGCAAGCCCCAGCACCAGTCTTTGCCTCTGAGGTAAGGCATTAGGTGCAGCAAGGCTTATAACAAACAGCCACTTCACCTCTCCTTTGAAAAATTTAGCACTGTTGTGAAAGCATAGGGGATGGCCATAATCACAGCATTCCCATCTTCAACACACACTTCATTTAAAAAAAAAAAAATAATAATAATAATAAAAAAAATAAAAGCTTCAGGAAAATCTTGCCTTATGGCTTTAAAATCCATATCTTAAATCTTCTCCATTCAGAACTTAACAGCGAGTGCCCATACTTCACAAAGAACTATCAAATGAGTCTTGGTGCACAGCTCCTCCCAGCAGAGGGGCAGCTCTGTTCCTGCAGTCTCCCATCCAAGCAGACTGTAGAGCTCTGTGCATGAGTGCACTACAACACCACTCACTTTGTCGACCTCCAACAGCCCTGGCCAGAAAGGAGCTTTTAAGCAAATGGGAAATGGAAACATATGAATACTGCTAAAGCAAAACACATTAACCATGCTGCGTGCTACTATTTTCCAACATATTATCGAGATGCAAAATCTTTTGAAAACATATTTGTTCAGAAATATGAATGTAATGAAGCACTTTAAACACTTTAAAGCATGAGGCATTTGAGAGACCATGCTTGTTTCATAGCTGTAACAAATTTCTTCCTTAATTATACCAGGATGGTGGAAAGGAACAGAATGAAAACAGTTATTCTGAAATCCGTGTGTTGGTTGCTTTAATTAAACATTTTCAACATTGTGCTCAGTTGCACATAGGTGGCTCCCACGTTAGCAAGAGCCTATGCTGCAGTGCTGTGGCACAGCCTCTCAGCACATCCCAAAAACAGCACTCTGAAATACACCTGGACCTTCCAACAGCCCAAAGAGCAACACGTGAACTGCTCATAGGTCAGTACACCAACCAGCAACAAGGCCACAAAGAAAACAATTTGAGAGTTATTTTTTTCCAAGCCTCCCACTGTATCTGGGTGAACCACAGACTTCTTAACTGAGAAGTATTTGTTACTTCTAAACCTCAAGGGGAAGCTGAGGAGCAGTTTGGGATGTAACTGAGTCTTTCCATACCGATACATGTTTAAAGAAAGTTGCCGACCGGATAACCAGGAGAAGCCTCTAAAACTGAACAGCAACTTTGTACTCTACATTCAGAGAATATATAAGCTGAAAGCAACAAGTGTCTGCTCAAAAATACCCGAACATGGAAATTCAGTGGATTTCATTACTATTTTTAAAGGGGACGGGGTATATCTTGCCACACTGTCCCAAGACAGATGGAGGTACAATAAGGAAAGAGAAAGAATGACTGCGTAGCCAAAGGGTCTATGGCCACAGGGGGAATTTCAGAAAAAAAATGATTGTATGTGACAGATAAGAAACTTAAGGGGGGATTTTAAAGCAGAGTACAGAAGGACCAATAGTGATAGGGAGGGCCAAAGGAGCCTGTGGGACAGTTATAGGCACAGCCCTGTGTCCTTCTGTCTCATCCTAATGCATATCAGTGGTTCTGACCCACTGTGCTGAGCAGAGATGAGCTCAGCATTGGTGCACTGGCAGCGTGGAGCAGCCTTCCCAGCACTTCTGTGAGCTACACTCTCATTGTCCTGAAATTCTCCACATTCATCATTCCTCCCCTGAAAAGTGCTAAACGCTGTGCAGTGGGGAACTGTGGCTTTATTTCACCTCCAGAAAAATCTCCTGCTTCCAACTTTACAAGGAAGTGAGCAAACCGAGGGGCTCCTCATTCACTGCACAGACAGCAGAACCTCACAGCAAAGCGGCAGCAGGAAAGCAGAAATCTGTCTTCAGGGCTCGAGCAGCCCAATTTGAGCAGCTCACGCTCACGCCTTTCCCCATATTATTTCTCTCTTTCTTTCACGCTCTGTGATTGCTAAGCAATTATCCGCCCGGGACACGTTTTTATTCATTCACTCTCAAAGATGCGATACGGATAAGGTTGCAGGGAAAAGCTGGAAAATAAAATCACCGTCAAAGCCAACCCCAGCCCTTTCGCAGGCAGACGGAGGGATAACCTGTTGTGGGCACGTTTCGGCGGCGGGCAGAGCCAAGCGCCGGGCTGCCGGGGGGCGGCGGCGCGGGGCTGCGCGCGCGAGTCCCTCCCAGCAGCCGCTGCAGCTTCTCTCTTTTGGGGAGACGGAGGAGCGCCCCAAGGGGCCGTGCCCGGCCCGAGCGATTCTACACCCTCTTTTTCTCCTCCCCCGTCCGCCCTTCCCGTCCCCGCGGGCAGAGAGCAAAGTTGTCTCCCCCAGCGCACGGCGAGAGCCCCTGCGGAACAGCTCTCAGCATCCAGCAACCCGCATGCAACTCTCAAGAAGTTTCTGCAGGCGAACAAAACCACCTCTGAGGCATCGCCCGCGCCCTCTTATGATATTTTTAATTTTTGTGTTTCTTTTTCTTTCTCGTCCCAGTCCCTTAGCTTTTTTTTTTTTTTTTTTTTTTTTTTTTTTTTTTTTTCCAGCCTTTATGTATTCCTTTATCACCACGCATACCGCCGATCACCGGGTACCGCCAGCCGGCCGACAGAGCCGCTCCGCGCCGCGCACGCGAGCGCGCAGCCCAAACCCCGCAGCCGCGGGCGGTGCGCACCGCCGCTCACCCGCGCCGCGCCCCGCGCCGTACCTGCGATCTCCTGGTAGGGCACGCTGGCCAGGCTGAAGCCTTTGGCGCTGTAAGCCTGCCGCACCTCGCCGCAGCTCCGCGCTTTGCTCTCAGTCCCCGCGGTCGCGGGCGGCGGTAGCAGCAGCAGCAGCAGCAGCCCCGCCAGGGCCCAGTGCGCAGCCCCCCGCGCAGCCGGCATGGCGCGGCGCGCAAGTCCCGCGCTTCCGCTCCGCGCCGCCGCCGTGCTCCCCGACTGCGGGGGCGGCGGGCCGGGAGCCCCCCGACCGCCCAAGCAAACTTTTGCGAGGCGGGGGGGAGGTGGGCGCGCACACGCACACATGCGCGCACAGCAGGAGAGGGAGAGCGGCAGCCTCGTCCCCGCGCCTCCTCAGCAAAATGCTATCGTCCCCCAGCAGAAAACAACAAAATAATAATAATACTAATTTTTAAAAAAGAAAAAAAAAAAAAAATCTGTCTCTAGGTTGTGGAGATTGAGAAGGCTGCCTGCAGAGCGCAGGGTGAGCGGAGGCGCGATCCGCCGCGGAGCTGTGCCCGCCGCCGCTGCGAGGCTGGAGGTGGTGGAGGCAGTAGGCGGCGTGGGGATGGACTGGACAGCGGCTCTGTGCGTGCGCGCGTGTGTGTGTGTGTGTGCATGCGTGTGGTGCGAGTGCCTGTATTGACGGGAGCCGGGGAAACCTCCGCTCCGCACAGCGCCGGAGCGGGCTCCCGGAGCAGGCAGGGAGCAATCCTGGAGGCAGCTACAGCCAGGGAGACACACACGCACACACATCGCACGCACACACACACATACCGAAACGTGCTACACATTGCATAGCTGAAATACGGGAGAGGGAAGGAAATCCTGGCGTGGATCGCTGTCTGCTGGAGGAAGGAAGGAAGGAAAACCACCCACAGCTGTGAAAACTTCCCTCTTCATCCAGGATCCAGGCACTCCGAGCCCCTAAATTACAAAGAGCCCGCTAGTGAGAAGTCAAAAAAGATACTCGTCGGCAGTTTTGCTCTCCGTAATGCCAGGTTTGGAGTGGGGCCCATAAACACTTTCATTTTCATTAATTATTATCTGTTGTTCACATAAATGCTAGAGCTGAAGAGTCAGAGCGAGGAGGAGCCCATCATCCATAAGAGAAAGAGGGAAGCATGTTCCTGTGTGGAAGATAAAGAGGGATGAGAGGAAGGAAAAGCAGGCAGTCCTTGACCCAGGTAATTTGTGCCACCCTAGGAGAGGAGAACAGAGGACAAAGCCATAAATTCTCTCCTGCAAATGAGCATCTGCGGAGAACTGATTGAGGGAAGCAAAGAAAACTCCTTCAAGGTGAATTCAGCCTCTACTCGGGGAGAAAGAAAAATATTCCATTCTGAAGAGCTTGATAGTAAAATCTGAAGTTAGAGTTTGAAAGGATTTATTGCAGTGCTTTTTATGAGTACTGTAGAGATGTGTGGTATTTTGTCAGAAGTATACAGACAGAGATGTTAGACCTAGGACGAAGCAAAGCAGGACCAACAGCAAAGATAAGAGACCACAAGCTCTCAAGAACACTTATCAGTGAGGAGCCACATAGCAATGCCATGCTGGTATCACAATTCAAGATGCTTTCAAATTAGACCAAACTTTTAGGTACCAATACAGTGTCACAGTAAATGCAGTGTTAGTCTTGGGTCTAGGCCAGTGAGATGAGGGAGGAAGGTAAATGTCTGGGGAGGAGGAGGTTGATGAGAGACTTCTTTTCTTTTTTCCACACCACGAGCCTGTTCAATCTCCATGGATTTGTTTTAAAAGTTTAGTTATCTCATAGTCCTTGCTAGTACTCCTGAGGGGAAACTTTTTGTGAATGGGAACTGTAATGGTATCATCCGGCCTCACCTAGTGGAGGGCAGGATGAAAGTCTTTGCTTTAGCAGTCCCAGAATAGAGAACTCAATGTGTTACCTGCCCACTACATATAATAAGCTGTTTGTAGTTACACCATGTAAATCTAAAATTAGGCAAGGTCCATACATTTACTATGTGGAGAAAATTTGGCAGATCTTAAGATACAACCTGTTCATCCCAAGACAGGATGAGAAGGGTGTTACACGTACCTCATTTCTTCTGGATTTCTTTGTGGCCACAGCAGAGAGTTTACCAAATATCAAGCATGACAGACTCCCCCACAATCCAAACTTCTTCAGTGTTTCTTCAACCCACAGGAAAATTATTCGACACAAACTCAAAGATGCAAATGAGAAAAAACAGAGCAAGCTGGTTTTAAGCTGGTTTTAAGTGCAGAAATCATGGTAAAAGAGCAAAAGACATCTTATGATTAACACAGGAGCACATCTAACTTATTTTCCAGAAAATTATAAATTTGTTTAAAAAAAAAAAAAAGTGGTTCTTATTCATCCCTCCATTTTTTTTGCAAATACCAATTGAGTTCATACCTCAGATAGTGTGACAAGAATTTACATAAGGCAATGACGTTGTAACATTTATATTATGGAGAAAATTGCTGTGGGAAACTCAGACTCGTGTCCTCCCTTTGAATACTGCCTCTGACATCAATGACTGAGGCTTCCGGCAGCATCACAGTCCTACAAGGTAAAGGAATACTTGCTCTCCCAAGAGCTCTAATTGGATCTCACATTTAAACACAGATATTTTTACCACTTCAACAAATCTCCTACTCATCACATGGGAGAATCATTGTGTGTTCTCAGTACATATGTAATTAATTTTGTACAAAGTGGAAGAGCTCCAAAGAAAGCCCAGGTCAGAATGTTTTCTAAGCCAGTGGCTTCAGAAATCCCTTAGAAACATAACACCTCTTGTCAAGCATGATAGGCACAAAACAAAATATCTCAATTTCAAGGCCTAGAATAATAGGGTATTTGATATGGTCTCACAATATCCATCCATTTTCAGATGTCCTAGACTATAAAAAACACATAACTAGTGTGTTTCATGATTGATGAAAAAAGTCTTCAATTTGTTATTTTAGAAGAGTAGCAAGTGAGTATTTGTTGATGAATTAGAAACTATTTAATATACATATAAAATGTTGAACAAAGTCTGGCTTCCTCCTTCTTGACATGGTGATTAATACCTTCCCAGTTAAAGTGATCTCCAGCTGAGAAGAGCTTGAGTCTGAGTTGTCATGTACTGGTAAGTGTTTGGGCCTCTAAACTGTTTGTTAAAAGCTTATCTTTTCCAATAAATTTTGGGAAGAAATTCGTTCAATTCGTTTGCGTAAGCACCAAAGAGAAGCCTTTTGTTTTACTTAAATGGAACGTTTGAATCATCAGGGAATTCTTTTGCTTCTCTTCAGTTTTTGTGGAAAGAAATAAAACATTTATATATACATATATATATTTAAATATTATGCTTGCTTGGCAACCAGACTGAAAATCCATTTACCCTCTTGGATAACCCCCTCCACCAAACACATTCAGTGTAGCTACATAGATCTCAACTTGAATGAAGACTTTGTAGTGCATCTACTGATCAAGTTTACAATGATTATAGCTTTTATCCCTGCTCCCTGCCTCAAGTTATTCTAAATAGGAGTTAATTAATATTAAGTTCCACTGACTGTTTTTTGAAAATTCTTTTCCTACATTTGTGCCCCAAATGTGGAAGACAAATGATTTTTGACCTTTGTTTCCAACTACTTGTGTAACAAATGGATTAAAAATAATTATTCATGCCACATCATAATAAAAATGTCAATGCAAAGTGGAGCAGCAGCCGGCATTAATTCCACCAGCAACGGAATGCCCCACGTTGCTGAGACAGTTTTATGTTGTGCAGAAAAGGAGCTGTGGAACCTTTAAACAATAAGGACAAAACCAAACACTGAATTGCTATGTCATTTGCAAAGCAGTCATCATCTTGAGCTCCAAACAATTGAAGGACATGGTGGAAAAGCGTGATTATAAATGTAAAAAAAAGATAGTGTATAGTGCATAGGAGTGAAAATGAGATTGTAATGGGAAGTTTTGTGCATTTTTTTTCATGTTTTTTGACTTATTTCAGTTTGTAAACATGATAAATGACGTAACTTTGAAAGATACACTGATTTATTTTCAGGTGTTATCAAAAAACTCTCATTGATGTCACGGGCATAAAGGGGACCATATAGACAAAAGCATTTTTCATCTGACTTGACAATAAAGCTTTGGGAAATGTCAAAATGTTTTATCAGTCAAATTCACAAAAAAGAAGCTGACTCCTAGATTCACCGTTAAATCTATGTGCTCCTTAGATTTGCAGCTTTCACATAATAGATTTCTAGCAAGACGGTTTCACAGGCTGAGGCAATAATCAGTGAGATTCTTAGATGTCCAATACAATTATTGCTGCTGGAGTGACTCTTATATTTCTGTTGATTTCTACATGAGGAAGGCTTCTGTGGAATTAGCCCCTGTTTGCACGAAAAGGCCTTGAAGAATTTCAGAAGCTGTCATTCTCTGTGTGGGAGTGGCAAGATCCTATCTTCACTGAAGAGGAGATCCAGCTCCACACAAATTTCTGATGTACTACTTTAGAATACAGAGCATATCCTGGATATTGAGAGTCAGGTCACCTCCACTCCAAGATGCATCTACATGTACCCTGGGGGGAAATCTGAACATGTTACTTTTTCACTAAAACTATGTGTACAAATACGAACTATTTATGTGAAGAGAACGTTCTTACTCTAGGTCTTCAGTGTTTACTCCAGGTGGACATGGTTGTTTTAAAAGCCCATGAAACCTTAACTTCATAGTGTTGAGGCAACACTGTGATTGAAATTGAGCTATGAATTTGTCCCAATAAAACTCTCAAAGGCCAATTCAATGATGGTATGCATGAAAGCATGAAAATGTCCTTTGTACCTGGTTTTTTTTCATGATGTGTCTGAAGCCTTCATGGAAAATTTTTATCCACACATAACAAACTGATCTTTTTTACTCTACACTAGAAAGGAGAGCCTTTTTTTTTTTTTTTTTTCTTCCCCTACTGTATGATATTTTCTGCAAAATTAATGCAAAGCCCAATTCTTTCCAAAAAATAAGCTCTAGAGGCACAGGTGTGAAGAAGTCATCTTGCTCTTGAAGTTGCACTCAAAAAATAGAATTGTCAACACAGCTGCTAGATAAGTCCTCATAGAAAAGGTTTTCAGAAACACAGCCAAGAAAACAGATCTGCTAAATATACAAAATAATGAAATACAACTAACTTTCTTTCCTCTATTTTTTAGAGACAGAAGGTAAAAAAAAATGATCTAAGATTCCATATGCTCAGTTATGCATAATATAGGAGGATTAGGCTGCCATAACAAACGTTTATAAGTGGTAATCAGTG